CTTTGCATGCGCGAAGCAATACGGAGCGCCCCGGAGATACTGAAAGCTGTCGATATCCGATTTTCCTAATCAGTCGTGAATGTATCACCAGCACTGACAGCTTCCGACTCTTTCGTTGAAGATACCAAACGTTCGTCGGAACCAACGTGTCGATTTAACACGCGGTTATTTAACGAACGCAGAAACTCGAGCGCGCCGCGATGTACGACGCGTGAACACGGGGTAAATATTTTCCTTCGTGAATCTCGGCGGACGTTAATCCAACGCAATAACATTCAGATAACTGGAACGGTCCGAGCGGTTTGTTAACAAGAGGAAAAAAAGTGACAAGAAGGGGCGGGAGGGGGAGGAAGCCGAAGGGAAGGAGAGAGAAGGCGAGAGAGGACGGGTGTCGCAGATAAAGACTTCGAAAGAGCTGGTCGCTTATCTGTAAAGACCGACATCCGCCGGATCAGCCTCAGATACTGAACACCCACACTTTCCTTCTGGTGCACGCGCTTTAGGCTAAGTTCCGAGGACGGAAGCGGCCGACTTCCAGGGGTTCGCAAATTCCACGCGCAGGCGGCGCGTAGCTGGACTTAGATAACCCGCGCGTCCCAATTTCGTTCTCCGGGCATGTAAATCGTCAATTGGCCGGGGATCGGCTCAGCTGACGGGCGCGGATCGGCCGAGAAAGTTGGTATTATTCGGACGATTGAAACGTGACTTCTCGCGGCTTGATTCGATTTCGAGGGACTGAGCGTCTTGGATTACCGAGTTACCGAGACGAAGAAGAAGAAACCTTACGACTGTCGGGTCCGGACGCGACGTTTGTTTCAGTCGGAGGTGCCGGACACGGCGATAATTCGATCCTCCTCGGCAACGGCCGATGAAAAGCGCAATTCGACCGAGCCGGGTTACAGGCGACGCGATTTTACGACGCTGGCGTCAAGCATCGATGAATCTAATAATAAGGGAACACGTCTTTTCTTGAAACAACACATAAGGAAACACCTATTTTCTTAAGTGGAAATCCCACGTCTCACTCTCGATTCGATCCAATTTTACGCTCAATTCGAATTTTTACCGTTTTCCAAATGGATCGCGCAAAGAGCCAGCGGGCTTTGGCTTTCATAGATGTCATGTGAGATATGTTGAAAAATTATATTAAACAAATTGAAATACATAGTTATAAAGAACATCGAATACTACAAAACTTTCGTCTAGAACGTTTTCTCTTACGATTCCGCAAATATTTACTCAAAATTAATCTAATCGAATTTCGGCTGAAGTTGTTTCAATTCCTAAACATGCGAGGAAGTACATGTAAAAAGATACAAATTCAGTACAAGCGACATTTCATGTTATCTCGTTAGTTTACTTAATTAAAGTTACCACAAGCCGTGAACAAATTTGTTTCTCAGTCGACGCATTTCTGATGAAACGACGGTTAAAAGCGGCCGGCAATCTGAATGTATCGGTACGACTATTTTTAACGGCAAAATAATCTCCGACTCAAATATTTCAGCTCGAGTCGAGAAATTTAATTTATCTTACGCGCGTCCCTTCGACGCGCTGTTTAATCGCATTCGAACGCATCCGATATAACAGCGGAAACGACACTGTCGATGAATCTAAATAGCGCGTGTCTCTCCCGCCAGTGATTTAGAAAGATTCCCGGTAATCTCAGGGCGCCTCGGTAATCATCTCGCGCGGGGAAACGAGGGTCGAGGACGCGGAAAGAAATATTCGGCGAAGATTCGCCGGTCGCATCCCCTTCGAATCGTACTTTGCGCGCCGAGCGCAGCTATTATCGCGGCAGTGCGGAATGGGCGATAGCGGGGTGTCGAAAAATATGTTCTAACTTTTTATCTTGTATCTGAACGAGCACGCGCCTCAGTGCGCAGAACCGGGCGTTAATTTGCGAAGTCGAGAACTCCGTACTTACGAGTCCGATGCGTCCGGCCAAAAGAAGGGACTCTTTTATGAGGAAAAGAAGCGAAGTAATTCCTAATAATTCCATATTTAATCGGGAGATTCTCTTCGAGCAATATGTGACCCAAGTATATTTCCCGATACGTTTATTAGATTGATCTGAATATACGAGACGGATTGAAATTTCACAGCTTATCGTACGCTTCAACACACAAATACGTACGTATGTTTTTATATAGGGCGATTCAGAGCAACACTCACAAATTTCGTGAGGTCGTAGAGCGGATTGAGGTGAACCAAAAAGCCGTCCACCAATTTGCAAATAACATGCAAGGTTTCGGGTTTCGAATTATTAATTAGAAAAGCCTCTACAGATGGCCGCTTTCAATAATTAATAATCCGAAATTTTGCAAAGTGGTAGAGGACTTTTTCGCTCGCCTCAATCCGGTCCACGTCCTCACGAAGTTTATGGATGTTGCTCTGAGACACCCTGTATGCTCGTTTTGATATTTACAATAAATTTGCGATTTCTACGCATTAAATTTGTTCTACCGTCGGATTTTAGATGCCACTATCATCACACGGGAGTGACGGGAATGATTTTCAGATTAAACGGATGTTACTGGCGGCGAGGCCCAACAATACGAGAAATGGCTAACGCGAAGCGCGAGATGAAGCGGTCGCAAATGAAAAAGAGCCATCGAGAGAAACTGGTTTCGCTTCTTCAAGGGTTGCCCTACGGATGAATCTTATCTTCCCGACGAGAGCTGTCAAAGACGAAGCGGCATGACGCTTCCGTCGTGCGGGGAGATAACCGGAAGCCCGATAGGGCCTGCACCAGAAATGAGAAATGTCTTTGCGGTTGCAGAGATTAAAGATTTCGCGGATGAGTGGCTGCCATCTCTGCCATTTCTTCTTTCACATTCCTGACAAACTTACTTTCGGCTCGACAAGTATTTATCAACGTCCGCAAGCTCGCGTCGGGAAACGATACGTTTGATGAAAACGCGCGCGTTCAACGTTCTATATATTCCCCGAAGAACTTATATTATTACTCTGATCTAGTTTTCGCATACGATTTATGTTCCCAATCGGTTTCTTCCTCTCGACGTTATCTATCATAAAAACGGAAGATCGGCGAATTCTCAGTTAGCTCGAGATCAACCTGCGAGGACGATCCGAACGATCTATAATGAATTTCACACACAGACGGACCGGACACTATCCGGCGACGAGTGTATCGCAGATTCGCGCGGAGACGCGTCGGTAATAAACAGAGCGCGTAATACGATGTCCCTGCGATTAAATCCTGCGGCGTAAAAGCCCACCTTAAACCAGCTGATCCCGGTACAAAGACGACGCAAGGACGGGACGCCTTAATGAAAACTATACGTCCCTAGATTAAGGTGGACGCTGGTCAGCCTTCGGACCCGGTAGATACGACCTGTCTTATGCAACTCGGGGGTGGGTTCTATGATGTCCGGCGTATTAGATGGAAGTTTCGGCCATTAATACCTAATATCATGCCGCCGGCAGTAAATCCTTTGTTGGTCATCTTTGACGGGGGACTTAGTGTGCCGTGCATCAAGAGACCTATCTATCAATCCGGGTATAACCTAATATTGCACTTTGATTAGCTTATTATGCTCGGCGAGTGCAATTTCAATATTACACCGAAGCTCGCGATCGAATTCACGCGAGATTCCCAATTAGAAATTATCACTTTATCGCTCCCGACCGTGAACCCCCCGAATTTTTCTCTCCACAGCGAGAACCAAGTGCGAGGTTGTTATTTTCTTAACGGAACTTTTTCACATCACGCGTCATCTGCAATTAAGACAAATTTCATTTCCATCAACACATCCCTGTACTCGTCCTGAATTGAAATTCTACATAACAATCACGACGGCATCTTTATTTAGGAGTAATTGCTACGCATATATTTCTATCTTTTATTTCCTACGTCACAACGGTTCCTCCGGCTCTCACACGTGACAGGTCGAGCCTACATTGTGCGACCCGAGCGCATAGCCACTGCCGTGAAATATAAAATTCGAGAAATCTCCTTAAACTGAACACTTAACAATCCTAGCGAATTATTAAACGGCGCTACTTAATAGATAAGTATATAGTGGATGAAATTGACAGAGAAATTTTCCCCTCGGTTCTTTTTTCAGCTTTCTCCCACCTTCTCCCCCCCCCCCTCTCTCTCTCTATCTATCACAGTCTTTCTCTTGCTCTCTCTCATCCCTCTCTTCCTTCTCGCACTCCATTTCCTCGGTTTCGCAGAAGTCTGGGATTATGACCTGGAGTGGGATAGACTCCCGGACTTAAGTCAGGGTTACACAAGGATCGCAGCTATTGTGCCATCGCACAGGTCCCATTGTCTCGGGATAGACGAGTGGATCTGCATATGCTTAGCGCCGGAGTTAAACTTCTCTCTCTCTCTCTCTCTCTACCCTTCCCCTCGTTCTCCCTCTGTCTTTCTTCTCCTCTCTTCTCTCGGCGATCTTCAATGCGCGCTTCGCGAATCATCCTACCCCCCTCGAATTTGGATTCTGAAACGCCAAAGACTATATACCTATTGTCAGCCGGATGTACGGAAATAGTGCTTCAGTCGAGACTACGGAACGATTTAAGGTTCTCATGAACTGAGCCCCCGCGAAGATGCCTTCGGTATCCCCGGTATGATTACGAATCGAATTAATCAGAGCCGCTGACGCGGCTCGCTCCGAAGAGATCGTAAAATATTTTACACCGCGCGCAACTTAAGAGATCAAGCAATTATATCGGAACGAGCGGAGGATCATACGAGGCATACGATGCGATACTCGAAATCGACGGGGAGTAAAACATTCTTACGCTTTTCAGAAAAATGTCTGAATATTCGTAGCTCCTTCTACAACGGCAGGATTCGTAGAAATGTCAAAAAGCAAATGTAAAATTCTCGGAAAATAGAGACGGGAGGGTAATTAAGGCGCAATCGCCAGCTAATTTACCCGCCGTAAATTCGTTACTCCATTGTTATCCGCGGTAAGAGGATTGTCGGGCGCGTTACTTCACGCAAACTCCTTTGTCTGTTGCAGCGAAAAATCTGCCGGTGCATTGTGTGGTGGAGACGATTCACAATATTGTGGAAAGTCATGTGAGCAACAGCCGCGAAAAATGGCGAAGTCCGCAAGTGGAGACGGACTCTTACGTTATTATTCCGGTAGCTATGCCCTTTCAGGTAAGACGTTACGTTCCCTTTTCAACTAACTATTGTTATATTTGTTCACGCGACACGATGGTCATATCTGTACTTATAACTGAGAAACTTATCTCGAATGCCGCTTATTGTTTTAAGCAATCGAACATTTCCACGTAACGAGAAACTTATTGCTCAATTCATTTCAGACTAAATTGCTATGCGACTTACTTGAAGATGTATACTAAGAAAAATTGTCGTTATTTTCGTAGCAAGTATAATATTTTTATAGTTTCAACCACAAAAATAGTAGTAACATGCATGTAAGGTTATTACCGCTACTATAGTAACGTTTACTGAAAATTTAGTTTCCCTGGCTAGAATTTTTTCGCCATGACGATTTATAGTTACAAATGCCAAATATTTTTCTCTCGGTGTAAAAGTAACGATGACTGTATATTAAAGAAAAAAAATTAAAATCTCTCTGCAAAAAACGCAGTGTACTGTTACTAGATATCTTTCATAGAAATTTTTCAAAGCGAATGGGATATCCTTTAGATTCATCGAAGGCTTGCGAAAGTTCGTCAGATCGCAAATAAGCGTATCGGCTCGAAGGATGAGTCACTTTACAGACGCTGACTCAGACAATTGCTTGAAAGGTGGCAGAAAGTGGAGGATAACGTTGACGGATATCCCCAACATGACATCTATTGTTTCGTGATTATTAAGAAAAAAAAAAAATACGCCTAAAAATGTGACGAACTACTGGAAGTCCCCAATAAATGATCGCGATATTAGCGAAAACGTATCTTTCGGCGTCCGAAGGAATCAATCTTTTTCGTCGACAGGACTTGGTGGGCGAGGCGCTCGTTCGTTTGGGATATTCCAGCGATCTGATACCGAGCGCCAGAGGGAGCATCGTTATACGGAATTGGAAACCCCTGCCGATGGAGAAGGTCGCCGACGGGCCATTACTGACGGTGGGCGACATCCTGGCCGAACTGACGTCGGTAGCGACCCTGAAAATTCAGGTGTACAGATCCAGACCGCCACCCCCTAGTCCAGCCGCTGAAGTTAGAAACAAATTGCTGAGGTTGCTGCTGTTGCACAGCCATACGCTACTCGTCTCCGCTGGATGCCCCTTGGACGAGGTACGGCTTATTCGATCTCTAACTTCCGAGCGTCTTCTGATGCGACGAATGCCGACTTGCTATTTAGCGAGAAACGTAAATCGAGCGATCTTTAAGCGGATCTTTCATCAATCTCTCGGTGGTGTAGCGATCGCCGAGGAAACATGCGTAGATTTTAATACCGTTGAAAGTAAAAAGGATTCTCCCGCGCGAGAGAAAGGAATATCCGAGTCGAATGTAAAGGCGCGTTTATTTAGATTGGAGGGCCTGGCTAAGTAACGGCGTACCGAGAGAATTTAAGGGCCATTCAAGGCGAGATCGGAGTAGGGAATATTCGTAGTAAGACGACCGCTTAAAAATGTATAAAATGTAAATCTAGCCAGAGAGTGTTTGTCGTCGGGGTACTTAATCTCATTAAGAAGTCCTCCGGCTCGGTACTCCCTAGTACCTCCCGCAAGAACGGCGGCGGTAATCTTCGGTGGATTCTTGCTCACGGCTCGCTGATCCTCCGCCTTGAATAAATGCTTTCTTGGTTTCGAGTTCACCCAGTCGGGAAGTCAACGCGCCGAATGTTTTCCGACCGATAATTTCCCCCTTCTCCTCGATTCCACACTTCTTGCAAACTCCCAGGCGATTTTATACACAGCATTCGTTTCCCAGTCAAATTGTGTATTTTCGGCGTTAACAATTGTTACCGAGGAGAGTCGTTCTCGAGAATTGATACAATCTCTCATTTCCCGCATTCTCTCCCCGACTTGTTCCGACGATTGTATTCTTCCGTAATACCACGAGATGAAACTGTACTTGAATTGTACGATCATCCGAAAAAATCCTTCATTACTTTACTCCGGAAAGGAATGATTTCTCGGACAATTTCCAAAATTAACCTACGCTTCGAATGCGTACAGCTGACGTCGACGGAAAAGTTACTAACGCCGCGCGAATTAGCGGCCTGCTCTCGAGCTCCGACGGAATCGAGAAGCGTAATCTCGACTGTTCCGGCTAACGCGACATTTTCTATCCCGGTGACTCCCCGGAAGACTTATCCCCGACCCCGATCGTCTCGATTTCGTTCCCCGAAGATTGAAATAGGTGCGCAATTTTTGCGGCCCGCTCGCGCAGACGTGCCCTTCCGACAGCGGAAGATCTCATAGCGTATGATAGGATTACCCTTTACTCAACCAAATTCGCAGCCTTCATCAAAAGCCCCCTCGATATCGGTACCGAGGGAGGAGGGGGGGGAGGAGGAGAGGTGCCCTGCCTCCTCCGGCATTATCTAAGTGCACTCTCTTTGAAGATCCCGCTACCCGCCCATCCCCGAACTTTAATGCCGCTCACGGTGGTCTATGATTACCAATTTTCCCCAGCAAACGTTTCTTGCTTGAGTTTCGTAGCCCGTCGGCTAATGGCGAACCGCTGTGATGGAGAACCGACGTCTCTCGCGTAGATTTGGACTAATCTGACGATGATGCACGAAGACGTGCCGCCGTCGAGCTCCTCCCCGCCACTCTCGCGCGATACTCTTCGGCAAACGCGTCTTTCCAACGATTCTCGCGCGAATTACTTCACGCTTGTCATTTACTACGAACTCTCAGCAAGGCTTAACGAGATTTCTTTTTTAATTCGACCGAGCCGGTTTAATTCGTTGCGCAAAATTGCAGAGAATATCTTCAGCGTTGGATCGGAGGATGCAACACGCGCAGAAGCGCCCGAGTTCAGAGGTCGACGATCGACTCGGTGTCAATGATTGACTTTTCGGGCCATTCGATTTGATAACTACTGGATTGTTCATTGATATGCAAAGGAGGATCGATACCACTTTTTATTAATATCATGTCACATTTTATTAATGTCGTGTATAGCCGTTATTTAACTATCTACGATATGTATAGTGGGAAAAGAATCGCTACGTTCGAGTAAATATTTGCTAAGGAATATTGAAGTGGTTTATTCGGGTTAAGTAAATATCACTGGAACATGGCACTTATTTTCTTTCGACACGTGTGTCAACGTGTACACATTTGTCGGGATTTTCCGGAAAAAGAAGAGAAAAAAGCCACGAGCGAGAATATAGACCGAATTGTTTCCCCGCAGGTTGAAAAATATTTGTAGAAAGTAAGCGATTGTATCGATACGGCGAAGTAAGAGAATAAAGTGCAGAGTTATGGGAAGCAGAAGTGCGCAAACGAGCCGTCTGTTCGAGGTTTGAGGAAGCCTCGAGAGGAGAGGAAAGGAAGAGATACTCACGGATAGGAGAAAAATACGGCGAGAGAGCCGTCGAAACGATCGTCGCGATACGCGCGTCGCCAATCGTCGCGGGCTCGCGGATTGTTTGATCAGGGTCTTGTGATCGCGATTGATTTACCACCACCGCCGCGGATCAGCCGATTGCCGAGTGCTCGTCACTCTTGAATAATAAATACGTGTAAATCAGGCTCGAATCGCGGCGCGTAACGTCTTCTCAGATAAGCCGCTCGTCCCGCTTTCGACGGCGCTCCGACTGTTTGCCGACCGATTTCTGAAATCTCGCGAGCGTCTGTCAGACTCGCGTCTCGCCTGCCTACCTGGAGTGATTAAGTGCGGTGTCGTAAAACTGAGGCGGATGAGGATTCGAGGAGGTGTCGGCCGTTGCGGCCGGATAATTGTCGCCTTGCAGCGTCTGACGTTACCAAGGTGGCACGGATACACGCGGCGGATTACCGCGTTATTAAAGTGGCGTCGAGCGCCTAATCCCTCTAGCCCGCGAGATATTTGTATTCGCATAAATCATCCCGGCCAGATAAGGTGCACGCACCATTTCCTGAGAGGCGAAACTTTTCCATAATCTGTCACGTTAATTCCGCGACGACGGTGAGACGAAAACGACATTAACGGCGACGCCTTGCAACGACTCGCGTCGCCTCCGTTCGCGTCAACACCGGTGAACGGAAGGACCGGTCTTTTAGGGAGAACTTTTATTCGTCCGATAAATCGGCAATTTTCCCTCTGATTTACGGCACCCCCTCCTTCCTCCCTGCTTCACCGCGGAGATAACGCGGTAATACGAGGAACCGGATTGCGCTTCTCGCTGACGCACGGCTGATAATCTCTCGGCAAATGATCGTTCTAGGAGCCTAAATGATGCACCGGTGCGTCAATAATATCATCGAACGTAGCTATTCGCGGCTTGTCGAGAGGACTGTGAATTACCGGCGTGGTACCGGCCCGGTACCAACTTTACTAGACGCCAGTATCGGTTTGATATCGGTGGGATCCCGGATTCGATCGAAAAATCCGTCGTGAAAATGATTCGGCCGAAGTCGAATCTTTTTAACCGCCGCGTGGTCCGCGCGAGAAGCGAGTCGACCTGTCATTCATATCGCCCGATTCGAAGGATCTCTGAGAGAGAACGTATCGTTTACCTTGCAGATGACCCTGCTGTCCCTCTGCCGAGGCGGCAACGATCTCTCGGAGGAGACGAAGAGGAACTTCGAGACGTGGTTGCAGCAGCAACAGATAGGCCTCGGCATAAACCCGATACCGCCGACTTCCAATCACCATCATCACCACACGCAAAGTCCGCAGCCCGACAGCGGCGGCTCGATCACACCCGGCAGCGGTCCCATCGGTCCGCCGCATCCGGCGCTGCTCCAGTACTCGCACAAGACCCGAATGAGGACCAGCTTCGACTCGGAACTCGAGCTGCCGCGTCTCCAGCGCTGGTTCGCCGAGAATCAACATCCGTCGCGCGAGCAGATCCAGCACTACGTCGCGGAATTGAACTCACTGGAGTCGCGCCGGGGCAGGAAGCCGCTGGACGCGAACAACGTCGTGTACTGGTTCAAAAACGCGAGAGCGGCCCAGAAGAGAGCCAGCATGAACGGATGCAGTCCGCCCGGGCTCAGCCCGAGAGGTGCCAGCATCGTCAGCGAGGACTGCACCGACGAGGAGGACGACACCAGGCAGCAGGTACGCGCCGCACCGGCCGAGACCGATCGAACGTAGGATTTCCTTGCGGGTTTCAGTGGCGAATATATCGACGTCCACTGACGTCCCGGATTCGCCGGACGTTTTTTTTTCATTTTTCAATAAATCACCACTTGAATAATGTACAGGTTATCTGCCGGCTCAACCGAAATATGGGGGATTCTGCGTGAAAAGAAAAACAAAATGTTGAGAATATCAAGTGAAATCTTCTCATACGAAGTTTCGTTCTCGAGAGAAACTGTTTGTAATATTTGTTGAGCGCGTGTGCAAGGTCAACTGAATCCAGACGTTAACGGCACGCGCACTTTGTGAGTAATCAAAGTGATTTTTCTCGAAGATAAAGCCTTGTATGAAAAAAATTTTATCGCGTAATTTCGACTCCTTCTTTTCATGTAGAATCACTCGTATTCCGGCTGTATCGTCGGTTATGGGATATCCTGTATTTCATTTTATCTGTACACTTCGAACTCCCAGTTGTATCTATTTCTATCCAGTTGTATCTTCAATAAAAACGGCTCCAATACTAATCTGAGATCTCTAGGCAATAAACAGACTCTGATCCTTTGATTGAAAATATTTGCGAAACAATTGCTGCCTTTAATGGGTTAAATATTCAGAAACTCGAGAAATTTCCCTCCCTCAAGTTATCCCCGAAAGAATCCCCAGGAAGAAGCAAATCGATAAATCCTAATAAGAAATGTTTCTAAATCCGGAAAAATTGTTAGCACGTTTTAACGAATGAATAATGATAGTAAATTATTTAAAGGCATCGTTTGCAACTCGGTGCATAAGAATATTGGGTCAGTCGAAAAATCCAGTTGAACTTTTTAGTCGAACGCAAATTTACTCTGGAAAGGAGTCATTTATCGATCAAATAATCGCCGTCGTTGTCTGTTATCCTTCGTCGACGTTCCGCAAGGCTAGTAACACTCGTGCATCTCATGAAAGTGAAAATCGAGACGGACGTTTTTCATTGACCCAATATGATAAATCGAGGCTTAGACGAACTCGGCAAAAAAGAACTCTAAAGGAACAAAGACCTCGACCGCTGCTTTCAGTCGACGTCGGGGTCACCCTGCCCTCCGAGCAGTCCACCCGTCGGTCCCTTGTCCTTGACCACAAGACCGGAGGACCAACAGCCGCCGTCGACGACCCCCTCGTCGGTGAAGCAGGAGGACGCGAGGGTGTCCTCCGGTTCCGAGGACGACGAGGCGAGGCACACGGGCCCCATCCCGCCGGGATTCTCGCTAGTGCCCAGCCCCATGTTCGGCCACGGCATAATGTACATGTCGCATTATCTGCCGCCGCGCGGCCCAACCGGCTGTCCCACCAGCATGCTGGCCGACGAGAGGAGGAAGAGAAACCGGACGTTCATCGATCCCGTGACGGAAGTGCCGAGACTGGAGTATTGGTTCAAACGCAGCACTCACCCGAGCCACGCGGTACGTAGAAATCGAGAGAGCGTGCCTCGTTATCGCGCTAATTTGTCCCTCCTTCGGCGACTGGGGGTGTTAAAGGGCGCGGGAAATTCCAACGGCGGATTAATGGAGCGCGCGTGGCCGGTGCTTCATTAAAGATACACCGTTAAAGAGGCTGGACGAGTAGATACGCACGACACAATTGCTCAATACGAATGCATCGCGATGCGAGTCACCTTGAAAGGCCCCGCGGAATCCTTCATGGAAAATGGCCAAATTTTCTGAAACCGTGCTCCGTGATAGTTCTCGATGAGTGGACCAAAAGTGTCAGTCTGAAGAGATTATAGTTTTTCAGAAAATTTGACCACTTTTCATAAGGATTCTGCGGTGTCCTTTCTCGGACGCTCCCGTCGTCGGACAGATTCGGCTCTAATCATCCCCCTCCCTTCCCCCCTGACGTGGCAATTTCGTCTGAAAGATGCTTTACGATCGGTCCGTAGCTCATTCTATCGTACACGGAGGAGTTGAACAAGATGCCCTATCGTCAGAAGTTTCCGCGTCTGGAGCCGAAGAACGTGCAATTCTGGTTCAAGAACCGCAGGGCCAAGAACAAGCGGCTGAAGATGGCTCTGTTTGAGGGCGAGTCACCGCAACAGCATCCATATCACGCAGACTAGTTAATTTCGTTAAGTAACGTTCGCTAGAGAGACGAGAAAAACAGCGAGAGGAACAAACGGCGCGCGCGCGCGCGCGCGTGGGCGCGACGAAATAAAGGGAAATCGTTAATCGACCTGTTACTCCTTACTACCGTTGACTACGCGGCTTTAACGCTTTATGGGCCGCACATTCATTGTAATTATCACGTAATAATTAATATAATTATTATGGACTTTCATGAGTGTAAATACGAGATGATGTCGAATAAAAGCTATACATCACAGCAGAGTCGTACTGTCGCATCCATTTCTCCTTCCTCAGGAATACGCTCTTCGCACGATAAATTAATTTCTCACCCTTTTAAGGCCCGCACATTAATCCCACTTGAGTAAAGAATGCTGTAATTTGGAGATCGTCTTAAAGGACGTTCCTAATGAAAGTTTTTTGGTCCGGATATAAAATCACCCGTCGAGAAGTAGGATTTTCTGAAAATACATTATCGTTCACGTCAGCACGTTTAAGATGTCAAAATGCGAGGACATTTAAATTGTTTTATTTAAAAGAAATATTTATTTGCCGCTTGTTTATAACAGAGTCGTTGAAGAGAACATCGGGCAAAATTTACGTAGAATATTCTTACATTATTTTACATTTTTTTCGCAAATAACTTTATATCAACCCGAGTGTTGACGACTTTGTTCTACGTACGATTATGCGTATATCGGTCTTTAGCCGGAGGGACATTATTTCAAAGATATTATTATATCGACGAAACCATTATGAACTTATTTGAACGATGGACGAAATGTGGAGAAAGCACAAAGTTTATATACACTGAGCCTCAAAGGGTTAAGGAAGGATCTTTGCATCAGAAAGTTTCGCAACAATTGTCTCCGGAGGAGAAGAATGGCGCGGAAGGTAAGAGTTGTGAAAACGATACTATGCTCTCTCGCTCTCGTTCGTTCGTTTTGCAAGGGGTGAGTACGATAAATTGTCGGCGTACGGTGTTTCGTGAATTTCGTAGAAACCTGTAATACACAAACGCGCGAGCGGATGTCGGTGCGTGCATGCGAAGCGCGCGCACAACTGTGATACTGTCTCCAAGTCTAGTAACGCACAAAGCAACCGCCCCGACCAAAATCTCGCAGCTAAGATAAGACAGCGGCGGTGCTTGTCATCGAGTCAACCCTAACTCAAACGTCACAATAGTCAATGAGTCTTTCTCTAAAAGCGACGCACTATCTATCTACTACTACGGCGCTACTCGGGCGTTCGCATCACTCGCGAGAGTTTCAGGACAGTAAGACCGCGGATGTGACAAGGTACGACGAGGAGGCCTAATAACGAGCGAAGCGGAAGTGCGCATTATTATGTGAATTAATAAAGAACGTCTCTGTCACGCTTAGAAATCCCCTCTTTTATTACATACCGGGTTCACCGACGATCGATTCGATGTTGATTTTTCGGGCCGTTCGATCTGATAATTATTGGATTTCTCATTGATATGCAAAGAAGAATCGACTACGTTGCCGACAGATTGTTCACATGACCATTGTGTTGATATCATGCCGACGTATGGTCGATATCTAACTATTTATGTAATATGTAGAAGACATCAGGTAAGTATCGACTGATTATTGACGATTTAGTCGGCGCTTAATTGTATCCATATATGAAATTAATGCGGGTGTAATATAAACTGGATAATGACTGGATCGTCAATATCTATATAATATCTTTTAGATACCGTGACTTATAAATTTACAGCAAAAAATCTCGTGTAAATAACGGTCCACTGAAATTTTTGTTCTTACTTTAGCAAGGTGAATATATTAAAAAATAATATGTCAGCAAGATAAATATATTAATTTCATATATATATATTTGTATATTTCTTAACATATTCCCGTGTTAAAGTAACACGAACATTTCAGCTGTTATTTACACAAAATGTCTCATTGCGTATCAAATCGAATGTTGATTTCTATGTGATTTCGACTTGACTTCGACATGATTTCGACAGGATTTTTCATCGATACGTGAAACCGGGATACCTTAACCACCGAATCTTTACTCGTTTCACACCCAGTCTCTCTCTCTCTCTCTCTCTCATTCGATCGGATGTCTCAACGAGCGCCATCCACCGTAAGACGTAGGCGTTCTTCTGGTGGGTTCGTGCAAGAAGCAAGACGATTAAGGTAAGATCGAATTCTCGAAGTAGTACGGATTTTCGAGAGCGACGAGCTCTCGGCTGCGTCGCGAAATAGAAGACTTTATGTACGTAGCGACGCGCAAAGATGATACCGAGGGGATATCACCGTCATCCATGATACGCACACAGGACCTGTGTCGTCCTGGCGGGCCCGCCGAGGTCGTTCTGGATTTAATGAGGATAGGCGGATTTGTCCAATTAAAACGTCTTACAAGGATCCATCCGGGTCGGCGCTCATTCGCAAAACATCGAATCTAGACTTTGCCACAACAGCCGCTTCTTATCCCCGCGCTACTCTACCTGCCTACCGTTATCCCTCTCGTTATCGTTATCGGGCTCCGGCTTCCAAAGCGAGTCGAGACTTCGAGAACGACGGCAAGGTAGACGGGGATTTATGAGGCTTGTTTCGCTTGTAAGTTGCCGGAATTCGCGAATGTCGTTTCAACGTCATTGAATAAAACGCAGCTCATAAACGACGGTGTGCGATTTTCTCCCGAGTTATCGGTGATTTCCTGAGAACAACGAATACAAGGTCACGATATCGAAGCGCAAGATGTATTTCAAAAATGTCCAAAGTGAAATTTGCTATCACCTGATCGTTCGAATTTATATATAGGGTGTTTCAGAAATAGATCGCCAAACTTTAAGAGCACATTCTACCCTGTTGCAAAGATGAAAAGAAACGTATATGAATGTCATATGAACGTCGATCCGGAAATGTTTCATTTCCAAATTACAAATTTTTTGTATTTACAGTAAATAATATTATAATAATTTCATCGATAAGCAGAGGAGAATCAATCGTACGCCTCGCACGTCCTCTCGATTTAATCCATGATGCATTGATATGAGGTATGCATTGATGCGGAAAGCAATCAGTTCAGCAATTTCTTTAATGAAATATTCTTACCAGAGTCTGTTGTAAATAAAAAGTTTATAATTTGCAAAAGAAATGTTTTTTTCTCTTTCCGAATCCACGTTCGCATGACTTTTCTTCATCCTTGCAGCGAACAGAATATACTCCTAAAATTTGGCGATTTATTTCTGAAACACCCTCTATATAAATCTGCACATATAGTATATTTCTGGTTACGAGACTTGAAGAGCGCGCATATTTGATGAGAATTTTAAAGTGAAAGGGAGAGAACGTTATTTTATATATGCGGTACACAGGAAACATTCGATGTAATATTTTTTTCAAGTGCTTGAAACGTTTTCTAATTATTTCACGAATGTACCACTCGGGCTGGAATATCAATTTTTTAACACTGTCATTCTTCGGAACTCCGTTTCTCTGTACGACGCGCGGCAGCCCCCAATTCGAAGGAAGTGAAAAGAGAGCAAGTTTGGTCGATCGGATAAGAAAATTGCTGCTGCGCCGAAGAGTGCGAAGAATCAAGAGGGAACAGTAAGATAGCGGCGGAGGGGGGAGGAGCAACGTCTTATGAAAATCTGAAAGTCAGCAGCCCGGAGGATCATCCCTCTATCTGATCTTAATTTGTCAGAGTGCGCGCAGACAATTTAAACCGCGCCATCCGTACTAAATCGTTATGAAAAATGGTCGGTTCGGTTAAGATTGGCCTTCTTCCTGTCATCGATGCTTGGAATAATGAAATTTCTCCTACGAAAAGACGTAGCGAGCATGATATCAGCAAGCGATGTCATCAACGTTTTCTAAAAAAAAAAAGAGCAAACTTTCGAAGATGTGATGCGATTTACGTCGCCTTTCCAATCGATCCGCATCTTTCTTATCACAACGTGGCTGATCAATTGCAAAAAATACGATGCAAATTTAACACCGTTAAATTATAGACGCGTGCATTCACGAGTCCCCCGCGGACAGGAATGGCTAATGATTACCGCTCAATAAGACGTGAATAAATTCAACCGGCGGACTGCACGGGCTGGCGACGATCGACAAATTGCGGAGCGGCCGAAAAGGATCCAGGATCACAACGAGCGCAACGCGGTGCAACGCGCGCTAGACATTGGCCCCTGCATTTCCGTGCAATCGTGCACGCGAAAAGTATCCGCGAGACGTGGGTACACGTCGCTTTAAAGGAGCATTGTGTGTGCTTTGGCATTCAGAGGACGTTCTTATCTGCCTATCCGGGGAGCTGTCAGCAAAGTTCCTGAATAATAACGGAGAGCTCGTGGAAGAGAGGGAGAGAGAGGGAGGGAGAGAAAGCGAGAGGGAGTTATAGGAAGAGGAGAAAGATAGAGAGAGAGAGAGAGAGAGAGAGAAGGAGACAGAGAGTGGGAGCTGCGCGGTTCTCCTATCAGCCACAGCTAGGATATGCCTAACTATTCTGTTTCCATGCGGCTGCCGGACGTTTCGTCGTAGATAATGTTGGCCAGGATGGTGAGATTGTTGGATGCTATTGATAAGGACCGAAAATGCCCTCACCGACGTTGAATCGGACTGTAACGAGCGAACGAGGCGAGTTTTACCGCGTAAAAACATCGTTGCCGTCGCTCGCTCATTTGTAGTCGCAGACGCAAGCGAGATACTTCGCGCGACGCGGCTCTTTCTGCGGTAATTTTTAAAACACACGGTATATATATAATGGCAAGTGACAAATTCCCCGTATGATTTCTCGGTGGCACGCGAACGATTCGGATTTTACTCGAGAAAAATCCAGACACATAGGCTTGATCATGCGCTGAAATATGTTAATCAATAATACATATAAATGCGATTTATGTTGCGTAATCTACTAAATGCAATGTCTGCGAATAAGAACTCGGCGAGGTGCATCCGGAAGGTGTGACGAGAAAGAGAACCTCTTCTTCTCTTCGAAAATCGGGGGAAAGGAACAACGGTAAAATAGTTGGAAGGGAAACCGGAGAACGATTCGGATGAAGTCACGAGATAGCGAGGAGGGGTTTGAGAATTCGAGAGCTCGCAAATTAGCCGCAGGATTGGCCTCATAATCCTTGAGGGATGCTACGCTTGGCGACGCGGCTTCCATCTTCTTGTCCTGCTCTCCTTTCCCCCGCTCTCTTTTCCTCTCGCTACTTCTCTCTCTTCTTCTTCCCTCCCCC